ATTTAGTCGATGTAATTTTTTTAGTACGGTCTTAAAATTTATGGTATCGAATGCTTTAGAAAAGTCTGCTAAAAGCATAAGCGTAAGTTCTCCTTTTTTCATGGCACTCTTTATATCGTCTCTCATGGCCATCAAAATCGTGGCAGTAGAGTGGCCTTTCCTGAAGCCAGACATATTGTCATTAAGACAGTTGTCGATGAAAGGCAGCTGCTGTTTGAGGACGAGTCTTTCGTATATTTTGGATAAGACAGGTAGGATTGCAATAGGCCTGAAATCATCGCAGGTCTTTGGCGCTTCCGTTTTAGGAATGGGACATATTCTTGAGATCTTCCAGGCACAGGGAAATAAATTAGCTTCAATACAAGAATTTATAATGTGCGTCAGAGGAGCTGCGATTATATCGGCAACTGGTTTAATGTACTTTGCCGGAATTTGATCAGGACCCGTCGAGCTATCATTACGAAGATTATTTAATTCTTTTAGGACTTCGGGTTGGCTGATCTTGTTCAAATTGAAACTTGGCTCATCAGAGATAGGCAAGGAGTCAATGTAAGCGTAAAGATTGTTTTCGCTGTCGTTATTCGTGTGGCCCAGTGTCCGCTGAACAGTACCAGAAAAGTGCAGATTTAATTCGTTTGGATCGTGTCGAAGTGGCTGCGAAGGAGGGTTTAAAATAGAATGAATTACTCTCCAGATCTTTTTGGAGTTTTTGGAAGATAAGGCAATTTGATAGAAATATCGTTTTGCCGCTTTGATCTTGGTTTTTAAACTGTTGCGAACCTTTCTGAAAGCATTCCATGTACTGTCAAGAGAGGTCTTGTGTGCTTCAAAGCGTAGCTTATTGCGTTGGATTTGAAGGGCTTGTATATCACCGGTTTTGAGCCACGGACATGGAGGACGAGTAACTTTTATTCGCTTTATTGGCGCGTGACGATTTATGCAGTCTTGGATCAAGCTGTTAAATGATTCAAGCATATCTTCAGGATCACTGAAGGCATAGATTGCACTGAATGGCAGTGAAGAAACATCGTTATAATACGCTGCCATATCTGTGGTTTTTTCGTCTCGAATTATTTTGTATCGCGGTTGAAAACGAGAAGTGCGAACATTTAGGCAGACGTAGGGGGCATCGTGGTCACTAACAGCAGGGCAGGGTAAAACGTTTGAATACGACACACAGCGAGGCTTGTTGGAAATAACGTGATCAATTAAAGTTTTTGAGGACTGTGTAATTCTAGTTGGTATGGTGATGTGTTGGTGAAGATTTAATGACTGAAGCATATCATTGTATGATCTTGTTATTGGATCAGAAGGTTTCATGAGATCAATGTTCATGTCTCCCATTAAAATAGGTAAACCGTCCCAGGTGGTAATTATATCAAGGAGTAAAGACTCGATTGTATCTAACCATTTTTGTGTTGACATTATACGTTCTGAGCGATATATCGTGCCAAGTAACAGTTTGCTATTTATGTTTCGGCCTGGAATCTCAAGCCATAGGACCTCCAAATCAGGATATAATTGTTCAAGATCAGTACGACGCTTGAAAGGTATGTCATTACGTATGTAGGCGCCAACGCCACCACCTCTTATCTTATCTCGGTTGCGGAATACGTTAGTGTAACCAGGGATGTTTACATATTGCAATAGTAGCTTGTTTTCTTTTAGCCAAGTTTCGCTTAAAGTAAAAATATCAAATGGGTATGTCTCAATCGTAAGACGAAAATTATCAAAAGTAGAAGTCATAGACTGAGTGTTTAAATGGGCAACTCGTAGAAATTTTTGTCGAGACTCGAGTTCGGATAAATGGACATCGCTGTTCGGTGTGGACATGAGAGAACTGTCATGAGTCTCTTCTATAGAGTTATCAAAATCAATGGATCGTTCGGTATGAAATGGTAGTATCGAACTGATACAATAAGAGCATGTCCAATTGTTTGGTATACAGGCACGTAATTGCTTTATTTGTGTCAGACCGGTACAGCTGGCGTGTGTTAGGTCTTGGCATACATCGCAGAGAAAACGTTTGTGATTCGATTTTACTGTCTTTTCACAGACACGACATTTTATTGGCTTTGGTTGCGGGCCTGGATTGATCTCAATATCGCCAGATAATAGAATATGATATGTAGCGGTAGAGTTTGAATAGTAGGAGATCGGTTTACGAGATCTGCGACATTTATGATGAAACAACGTGCAGCTAACTTTAACTTTGGCTTGATGGAAAAAATTGCATTCCAAAGAGTTTATTAATGGAGTTTTTCGTTTGTAGATTATTGAGGAATTGTGAAAATTAGCCGTTGGGGATTTGATAATAAACATAGTCGATTTTATGCAAATTGACCTAACATGGCTGTCTTTCGACTTCTTCCTCAACAGTGAAGAGCTATGTTCATAAAAGTAAGCCCTTTCAACTCCTTGAACTTTCGTCATATAACTAGTATCCATAAGTATACTTAGCTGAACAGATTGCGTTTTCAGAGTATGAGTTGTAGCATCATTAATTTGAGAATATGCCTGTCGTTCCGAGTGATCGGTTTCAACATAACACCATGAGATATTTTCGTCAGCATGAGATCGCCAAATCAGGATAGATCCATGATGGTTTATATCGTTTCTATTATTGTGGGAGTCAGTAGCCACTACTGGCGACTTTATGTGATAAAATAGCGGCAGGAAACTTAGAATAACCAAGCTCAACATTATCAGTGTTGACTCGCCCATCGCCATAATACAAAGAAAAAAACACCGAGCACGCCAAGAACACCGAACACTGAGAAAAAAACACACAAAAGTCTTCATTAGTATAAAATTTACCGAACACTGAGAAAAAAACACACAAAAGTCTTCATTAGTATAAAATTTATCTTGATAATAAGATTAGATAGAATTGTTCGAAAGGGGTTTAGCTTAAACAGTTCATAAGTTCAAAATGGAAAACAAAATTTTCCGTGACTATATATTTGTTGAACAACTGAGCTAAAATATTTCAAGGTTAATCGTTTAATTGTCAATGGAAGTACATAGGATGCATAAGATGCAGTTTTAGTCATTCACAAGATGTACCAGAGTATTTTTATACTGTGGCTTATCCACCGTTTAAGCTAAACGCCTTTCGAACAACCGGCCTCAGAGATGTAAAATATGAAAGGATTTCAAAAGATGTTTTAAATTAGCAACCCAATTATTTATAGCCGGAGTTGGGGCCCGAGAAGAAACTGTTTTGACTACAAGAAATATTTTTACCCATGCACCTAATATAAATCCCAAAAAAAATATATACCCAACCCTGTGAGATTGATTTTTTTTTCAGTTTGATTTTTTAGGTTGCAACCTGCCCGTACCTTTCATGACAGTTTATTGTTTAAAGGCTGATATAATTGCGACAAATCCCAAATTGTATACCAGCCATGGATTTTTCTAAATTTCAAAAAGTTAAAGTCAATTGATGCATGGGGACATTGATGTTATTGATAATTTAGATGATGAAATATAAACATTCCTTTGTGTTTTATAGAGCCACTTTTGAATATTAAACATATGATTATGACCAAAAAATTTGCCCTCACAATCCTGAGGGAAGTAAAATTTTTCTTCTCTCAACTTTTCATAATCTGGAATTTCAACCGTTTTTTCTTTGGTCCCAAGCCTGGCTATAAATAATGACCGGTCGCTTATAATACAATTATGATACAATTTTTACACTAATAGACAACTAGTGCACTACGAAGCGTAGCAAATGATCCCGATCTAGTTTTTGGTCTCCTTTCAGAATTTTTGAGAGATTTCTCTCCTGATCTTTCACAACTTGTTCATTTTGCATTTCAAAATTTTGATGACATGAACTACGCAACCGCCTGATGTTCTTTCTGTTGTTTTGCGATTCTTGCATACTGGTTACCACACAGTTTGCTTGATCACAAAGATTGACATTGTGATACGCACATAGAGGCAACTTATGAGGATTTGTGGATGAATGGAAACCTGTCTCCCAAGATGTAGCGGTCAGTTGTACCGGTAGCAGGGTGGACATACGAATCTTCTTCAGCTTCTACGTACATTTATTGTTTAAGGGCTGATATAATTGCGACAAATCCCAAATTGAATACTGGCCAAGGATTTTTCTAAATCTCAAAAAGTTAAAGTCAATTGATGCATGGGGACATTGATGTTATCGATAACATAACAATCTTTGGAATTTCAACCGTTTTTCAATTATGATACAATTTTTACACCAATAGACAACTAGTGCACTACGAAGCGTAGCAAATGATCCCGATCTAGTTTTTGGTCTCCTTTCAGAAATTTTGAGAGATTTCTCTCCTGATCTTTCACAACTTGTTCATTTTGCATTTCAAAATTTTGATGACATGAACTACGCAACCGCCTGATGTTCTTTCTGTTGTTTTGCGATTCTTGCATACTGGTTACCGCACAGTTTGCTTGATCACAAAGATTGACATTGTGATACGCACATAGAGGCAACTTATGAGGATTTGTGGATGAATGGAAACCTGTCTCCCAAGATGTAGCGGTCAGTTGTACCGGTAGCAGGGTGGACATACGAATCTTCTTCAGCTTCTACGTACATTTATTGTTTAAGGGCTGATATAATTGCGACAAATCCCAAATTGAATACTGGCCAAGGATTTTTCTAAATCTCAAAAAGTTAAAGTCAATTGATGCATGGGGACATTGATGTTATCGATAACATAACAATCTTTGGAATTTCAACCGTTTTTCAATTATGATACAATTTGTTACAATATGTACTTGGGCCCCCTGTGGCACAATCAGTAATAAAAGCCCGGATGCACGGCCCATCCGCCATTATTGTTATGTTCCAACCACGTTGTCTTTTATATTGTTGTTCTAATACTTGTATGACATCTTGAAACATGGTGGCAGCGGTGGGATCATATGATATTTGATCTGTTGATCTGTTTGTAAAAGAAACGGGTTGAAAGCGTGTGCTGCGTGTCTAACTTGGCTCGAGAATTATGGCCGACGAGGGTTCATCTACAACGCCTCAATCGTCATCTGAGCCTAATACTTCTACTTCATTGGGTGAGCAAGCTTCAAGATCGTCATTGCTACCTGGCTATGTTTTTAAACCGCCCGAGCCAGTTAAGTTAGCGAAGAATGGCGTAGAAAATTGGAAAATATGGAAACAGCTTTGGCAGCATTATTGTGTTGTGTCTAATGTTGAACAACACCCAGCGGCCTTTAGAAAGTCGCTTCTCATATCGAAGATGGGAGTCGAAGCTTTGCAGATATATAATGGATGTGATCCACTCGATACGGATACTGCTGAAGATATTCTTAATAAATTGGACGCACACATTCTTGGGGAAACCAATGAAACTTTTGAAAGGTACAAGTTTAACACAAGAATTCAAAAGTCTGATGAAACTATCGATGATTACTTGGCCAGCCTCAAGACTCTAGCTAAAACTTGCAATCTCTGTGAATGTTTGAAGACGTCTCTTTTGAGAGATAGAATCGTCCTAGGTGTGAGAGATGATGTCACACGAAAGCGTTTATTGCAAGAAGGAAAGCTTACCTTACGTAAAGCCCTAGACATTTGTCGCACACACGAGAAAACCACCAGCCAGTTGAAAGTCATTGCTGGGAAAGAAGATGAAGTGCATCGAGTAAACATCAGTAAATACAACCGAAAGTATTCAGCAGCGGCGAGAAATGCTAAAGGATATCAAGCCGCGAGAAAGACTAATGAGGTGAGTAGCAAGTTAACTCACAAAGGGAAAATTAACAAATGCAAGTTTTGTGGTGCTGAACACATAATGAAGAAAGAAGCTTGTAAAGCATGGGGAAAGCAGTGCAATAAATGCAAAGGTTTAAACCACTTTGCCAGGTGCTGTTCTGCCCTGAAACCAACACATGTGGTGAGAGATGATTCTTCATCAGATTCTTCCACCGAATGGGTGTTTCCAGTAATAGCAGAATCAGTGAACTCTGTCTCTACTGGCGCTGTTTACGCAGAAATGTCTCTTGAGGATGGAGGAAAGGTGAAATTCCAAGTTGACTGTGGAGCGACAGTGAACGTTATACCAAAGAAATATGTTCATGAGGACATACAACTGGAAAAGTCACAGACTGTGCTTAATATGTATAACAAGTCAACACTGAAACCAGTTGGAAGATGCAGAATCATTACCAAGAACCCTACAACTGGAAAGAAATACAATGTGATGTTTGAGGTGGTTAAGCAATATCTGACACTGTCTCACGCTCTACTCAGCCGAAGAGCAGCTGAACAAATGAAGCTCATCACCATTAATTATGGTAACTTTAAGCAAGTGCATGGAGTTGCTGATGGTGTGTCAACACTTGTCTCTGAATATAAGTCAGTTTTTGATAATAACACTGTTGGAAACTTTTCTGGTAAAGTATCCCTTAGAATTGATGGCAATGCCAAGCCTGTGCAATGTCCTCCACGACGTGTACCCATTGCTGTCAAATCTGCTGTTGAACAAGAGCTGTACAATCTGGTTCACCTTGGTGTTATCAAACCTGTAACAGAGCCAACTGAATGGTGTTCTCAGATTTCTGTACAGAAGAAGAAGGATGGTAAACTTAGAGTATGCATTGATCCGAAAGTGCTGAATGAAGCTCTCCAGAGAGAGCGGTACCCACTTCCTACCATCGATGATGTTCTGCCAGAGCTGGCAAAGGCAACATTCCTTAGTAAAGTTGACCTCGCTCATGGTTACTGGCATTGTGAGCTAGATGAAAAAAGCAGCTACCTGACTACATTCATTACTCCATTTGGGAGATTTCGTTGGTGTCGCCTACCATTTGGTCTAAAAGTGAGTGCCGAAATTTTCCAAAGAAAGCTTAATGAATGTTTGAATAACTTGCCAGGAACTGTGTGTGTAGCTGATGACATTTTAGTGTTCGGATGCTCTGAAGAAGATCATGACAATAAGCTTCGAAACCTCTTTGATGTGTGTACGAAGAAAGGCATCAAGCTCAACTACAAGAAATGTGTTTTCAAGACAAGTGAAGTTGATTTCCTTGGTCACGTAGTCACCAGTAAGGGACTAAAACCTGACATGAAGAAAGTTGAAGCCATTTTGAAAATGGAAAAACCAACTAATGTTGATGGAGTGCGACGACTTCAAGGAATGATAACCTACTTAGCCAAATTTCTTCCTCGACTGTCTACAGTTATGGAGCCCATCCGATGACTCACCAGACAGGATGTGGAATGGGAATGGACAGAAGAGCAAGATAGGGCAATGAAAGAAATTAAGAATCTTGTGACAACTGCACCAGTACTCTCCTACTACGCCCCAGAGAAAGAGCTCGTGATCCAATGTGATGCTTCAAGTACAGGAATTGGAGCTGTTCTTCTTCAAGATGGAAAGCCTTTGGGATATGCAAGTCGAGCTTTAACAGCCAGAATGTGAGTATGCTCAAATTGAGAAAGAGTGTCTTGCAATTGTGTTTTCGCTTCAACGATTCCACCAGTATACCTTTGGGCGAAAGACAGTGGTTTACAGTGACCACAAGCCTCTAGAGATGATTGTGAAGAAACCACTCTATAAAGTGCCCAAGCGACTTCAAGGCATGATGTTAAGGCTAATCCAGTATGACATAGAAGTAAAATACCAGAAAGGAGAAGAAATGTACATTGCAGATGCATTGTCTCGCGCCTACTTGCCTTGTGCTGGACAGGACAAGGAGCTATTGGTCAAGGTAGATGCTGTTAGTCACTTGAGAATCAGAGAAGAAAGGCTTAAGCAGTTAAAGAAAGCGACTGAAGAAGATGAGACATTGCAAGCTCTCAAAGCTGTCATTCTTAAAGGCTGGCCTGAAACTAAGCAGGAACTCTCAACCCTTGTTACTCCATTTTTCTCCTATAGAGATGAACTACTACTACATGATGGTCTGTTGTTCAAAGGAGAAAGAGTCATTGTTCCAGAGAGAGAAAGAAAGTCCATCAAGGAACAATTACATGTTTCGCATTTAGGAGGTGATAGTATGCTAAGACGTGCTCGAGAATGCGTGTTTTGGCCTGGGATGTCTGCAGAAGTCAAGCAGTTGGCCAGCGACTGTGATGCTTGTCAGAGTTATGCCAGGGCACAGCAGAAAGAAACACTGATGCCCGTTGAAGCTAAATTACCATGGGAGATTGTAGGTGCTGACTTGTTTACACTTGACAACAAGGATTACCTGGTGACGACTGATTATTTCAGTGGATTTTGGGAAATTGACTGAATGAAGAGTATCTCATCTGTGGCAGTAATCAAGAAGCTCAAGCAGCATTTCTCAAGGTATGGAGCCCCATGTAAACTGATTAGCGATAATGGACCCCAATTTGCTTCACAAGAGTTTCACAACTTTGCTGTAACATGGGACTTTGAGCATTGCCCCTCAGCCCCTACCCACTCCAATGCCAATGGTAAGGCCGAAGCAGGAGTCAAGGCAGCAAAGCTCGTGTTGAAGAAATGCATGAAAAGTGATACTGACCCAAATTTGGCACTTCTGGAGATCAGAAACACCCCTACTCAAGGAGCAGGCAGTAGTCCAGCCCAACGATTACTCAGCCGACGTACCAAATCATTGCTGCCTACTACGACCGAACATTTAGCACCCAGGGGAAGAGAGTTTCTGAAAACAGACCAACTTAGGCTGAAATCAGAACAACGGAGACAGTGTAGAAATTACAACAAATCTGCCAAGGACCTGGAAGTACTCGCAGGGGTGACACTATTAGGCTAAAGCCATTTAGAATTGGCGCAAAAGAATGGGAGAAAGGGACTGTACGCAGGCGATTAGATGAGAGATCATATGAAATCGAGACCCCCTCTGGTACGTATAGAAGAAACCGGGTTGATTTGAGGAAGACGAGGGATCTCTCTTCATCAGAGGAGATGGCAATCCCTGAGACGCCAATGATGATCCAAGAGTCTGTGGAACTACCTGCAGAGCAACCAAATTCACCACCCATCGAACAGACTCCCTCACCACCTAGCAACCACCATCCAGTTGATCCTCCTGTTGTAATACCCGTTGATCAGCCAGAAGTCCATCTACGAAGATCCACAAGGATCAGAAGGAAACCAACCCACCTCAATGACTTTGTCAAATGAGCTTAGTATGAACTTTGTCTATGAACCTTACTTACTTATGCTATCATGATTATTTGTATATTATTCAGATACAATAGTTCCATCTTTATGGAAGGAACATATTTAGTATTAATATTACTTGACTTTAGGTTTATTAATTATTTCATTTATCTATCATTATATTAAGGCAATTAGTTTCTTTACATTAGAGAAAGGATGTTACAATATGTACTTGGGCCCCCTGTGGCACAATCAGTAATCAGTAATAATTGTTATGTTCCAACCACGTTGTCTTTTATATTGTTGTTCTAATACTTGTATGACATCTTGAAACACAATTTTTACACCAATAGACAACTAGTGCACTACAAAGCGTAGCAAATGATCCCGAGCTAGTTTTTGGTCTCCTTTCAGCAATTTTGAGAGATTTCTCTCCTGATCTTTCACAACTTGTTGATTTTGCATTTCAAAATTTTGATGACATGAACTACGCAACCGCCTGATGTTCTTTCTGTTGTTTTGCGATTCTTCCGTACTGGTTACCACGCAGTTTGCTTGATCACAAAGATTGACATTGTGATACGCACATGAGGCGACTTATGAGGATTTGTGGATGAATGGAACCTGTCTCCCAAGATGTACCTGTCAGTTGTACCGGTAGCAGGGTGGACATATAAATCTTCTTCAGCTTCCACGTACACAATACCGTTCATTTTGTACTCAGGTGGAACTATTGCTGGAATGTTGTGGTTCTGTAACATAAAGTAAGCCCAGGTAACTATTAGGCCTAATATACCAAAATAAAAAGAGCCAGCTAGCTTCTATTCTCATATATTCCAAAACAGTATTTTTGCTCCTGCAATTAAATGCAAATACCTGCATGAGATAATAATACATGAGATAATTATATGATGTTTTTCTTGTTTCTAGATACTTCATTGGATCCCTTTCAGTTGTTGGTGTTTCAAAACAACCACCTATTTCCCCATAAATTTGCGCAGATATCTGGACATCTACATTCCATATGTCGTGCCAACCTACATGGTGTGTCATTGATAAAAACTATAGGCTTGTATTTTAATGACAAACACAAGTCTGCAGCATCTCGTACAGACTCGGTCAAGCCGAGAAACTTTGATGCGACAGTACACTGCAACAGAGCATAAAATTTATTTTAGTATATTGTATATATATGCACATACATATAATATATTGTTTGTAGTACACGCCGGCAGGTTTTGTAGTAATACATGCAGAAACTTTGACTTCATTATGCATAAGATCTATCCTGCTAAAAACATGATTGAACCAACTATAGTTACCTTTAATACATCTTTTTAATATACTTACCCCATGGCGACACACGATGTGGTAAAATCCACCGGCTTTCCCAGGAAGTTTGGAGAAGTTGTGGCATGGACTCAGACCGATTGTAATAGATGCGTATAGGCTGTAAATATTACCGACCAGTGTTGTCTAAAGTTGCAATATATTGAATTAGCATCACGAAAAAGTTGTACACGCAGTTATAATTTTTTTTTATTAAATTTGATTAAATTGCATTTACCTTTGATTTTCTCTGAGTTGAAATGGAACATTGTTGGCATATGTCTTTTATCGTGTCCAGAGACATCTCTTTGAGATTGTCTATATCAAGTTGTTTTGCCTTTATCAGTTGGTGTAATTTTGCTGGATCACCTTAACAAAATCATATGTAGAAAAATTATAAATATATCCACTAGAAAAAAAATAATTCAAGTTAATCCTAGTATAGCTACTGGAATATTAATAAAACGAACCATCATACTGAGAAGATTTTAAAGGCACTCTGTTTCTCATATGTTTGGAGTTTATTGTGTTTTCATCTCGCATTGCATCAGGCATTATTGGCGGCAATTCTTCAATCTTGATGTTGAACGCATTTTCGTTTCTTGTGTAAACAGCCTTTTCTATCGCTCTAGATGTAATTCTTGACAGTAATTCCTCGAATGAAATCATGCTACCATGTTGTTTGTTTTCCTTGGTATATGTTATCTGTATGAATTTGACAAATTTATATTGTATTTTAATGCACTAGCTATATATACTTAATCAAATCATGAACGGGTACATCATTGCATATACTACCAATGATTTTTTTTATCAATAATTTTATATTTGTTTCAACACTATTCATAAAACAGCACTAACAAACCTGTGAATTGTTGCAGCAGTTTTTTTCATTCCCATCTCCTAAACAAACTTCAGGGCATACTCCACATATTCCACAAACAACACTGTCTAGATTCCTCTCAGTGATTGTCTCAAATGCCATGAATTATAAAAAAGATCTTTTAGATATTCAATCTCGTTATAGGATAATGCATTCACTTAAACATATATAGTTGCATATATAGTGAATTAATTTTACGTTTGCCGTATAGTCATGCATAAGTATACATCATTGAGACAGTGCGCCGGAGGTGTATGATTACATAATATAGAAATTAGGAAAATCTATGGTAAAAGGTACCATATAGATTACGCTATAGCTATATAGCAAAACTAGTAAAAGTACTTTTATAAAATCTACCGAATAATGCATGCATGGTCTAATTTACCTGTCTGCTTCTCATCAAAAGAGTGTTAAACTTGGCATTTATTATGTTGGTCAAAGGATGTCCGGATTTAAAAAACTCTCTGACTTCCAGCAATATTGATAATGAAACCATTATCTTGTCCAAGATATTAAACAAACCTAAAATGGTAAGGATAATAAATGATAAAAAGTGAAGCCGTTTTTGGCGTGACGCTGACGGCTTGAAAAATTTTTACTTCGTTCCAACATTCACATGCAGAAAATATTATTCGCATAATGCATCGCAAATCTCTTTAAAATTTCAAATCGCAAATCTCTTTAAAATTTAAATAATAGCTTTTAAAATTACTTATGTCCTGTCCTTAAGATTAATGCATCTATTTATACTTAGTAGTTGGCAAACTGCTGAAAGAAGACCAAAATCATTTTAATCACTATGATTTTCCGTTGAATTGATAAAAAAGCAGGCTATTAAAAATTAAAACCAATTCTTGTAAGGAATAAGAAAAACATAACACAAATGTTGTGCACAAAAAGAAAAATTTGAGATGTTGCAAAAATGACATCACCAGCTGATAATGGTTAAAAACTTCAGCGAAAGTTATATCGTATATATGCCCCGTTTATTGCCCACAGGTTCAACCCGCCTTAGCCGGGCTAGCTCGCTTTTTCTGGCCCGCCGCTTGATGTTTTCATATGCATGAGATTGTTGAAGGCGAGATTTTAAAACATTCACTATAATAATGCGATTGTAACCTCATTCTTTCCCCATGAACGGTTTTCTACAATTAAACCGAAGTTACAACTCAAAAAATCACTAGTACATAAACTATAGAGTCTGCTTACCAATTTCTGTGGGAATTGATTGATGCATGGCTCTGCACTTGTTGTTTTTGCAAAACTTTACTTTAATTTCTATCTCTGTAAATGGGTTCATTTCCGTTAATAGGTATGATTTTCCTCTTTGACCTGGATGAAACATCGGCTCAGACAAAAGAGACGAACAGAGTTTGCACATCTCTTCCACTGGAACAAACTGATCTGGCCATCCTGAATCCAGACCCATAACACTACCCGCATCCTTCTCGGTGGAAATGAATATTTTGGACTTCATGTCGGCACAATATGGAAGTGACCGTGTAAATGCCACCTAAAAACACTACGATTATTAAATATGATGTTTACAAGCATATTTACAATTTTTGTGGTTATATTTGTAAACACAGAGAGTTATAGATCAATGTAACCAGAGCCGTCGCTAGAGGGGGTGTGCGAGGTTTGACACTCTCCCATTCAATAAAAAGTCCGCATCCAGTCGGCAAATATCGATCTCCTTGGGCGTTTTCCATTAAGGTGGCTCAATACACTTTTTGGCTAAATAGACAACTGCCTTATATTTTCCATTTGGAAAGAAGAAAGTGGCTTAAATTTTCATCCAACACGAGACTAATTGCTACTAAAACAATATTTGAAAAAAAAAACGTGTCCATGGTAACAATGACGAAATTGATATCCCAAAAGAGACAAAATATTGTGGTTTTTTCAGTTTCTCTCAAAAATTAGTTCGGTTACCCCCAATCTTTTTTACATATATCATGAAATTGAGTTGTAAGGAATGTTCAGGGAAAGTTTAAAAAAATTCTGTGGAGTCAAATCTTTGGAATGAAAAATCAGCTTTTTTGTTCGTCTTGAAGGAATTGCACAAACGATTGTAATGCTACCTCTAGGGTAACTGAGCTTACTGGTTGAAAACTTTTGCACAATGTTCTGATCCTATTTATAGTTTCTACAGTTAAATTGTTGACTTTCGATGCATAGAAGCCAACAGATTTTTTTGGCATTATGTAGGAGGAGAAAGTATGACCATTTTGACTGATAGCTGAGAGTTCACATATCTCAGTATCAAATAAAACAAATTGGTATCTTTTCTCCGGGTCATAGCTGTAGTATTTCTTTTGTGGTTTCTCTGTAAATGGTGGGACTAATTTGTTCATTTCTTCTTTATTTCTGGTTGTTAGGCTTATGATAATTTTGTTGATATCAATAAGTGTGGTCTTATTTGTAACTGGGCATGCAGTAGAACTTTCTTTAATGAGATTCAATCCAATACCGGTTTCATATGTTTTTCCTTCCTTTGCTTCTTTCTTAGCATTTTTTGAAATTCTTTCTGACTGTAACTGATGTCGCCTAACTTTAGAACTTTTTGAGGATTTTCTAATTTATCTTTTTGTTGTTTTTTATCCATTTTAGAATTATGAAGTAAGCAATTGCTACCTGGATCAATGCCAAGGCTATCTAGTGTGGTGTTGATATACCTAAATCCAATGTTCTTCTGGGCAACCGAACAGGCAATCCGAAAGTCATTGCTTTCGCTACCACCATAAAAACGGATTTTGGGGGTTTTGCTTCCTATTATGCTGTTTAGGGACTCATTTCCCTGTGAGTTGGCAAACGGTACTAATTTTGCAACAACCGTATCTGTGGCATATTCATCAAACAAGGTGGTAAGTAAATTCTTTAATTGATTGCCATGCAAGTCTTTATTGTAAGGACGTTCTTTGTGCTTGTACGATGTTGGATCTTTTTGATAACCACACCATGATGAACAGCAGCCATGATGGTCTCCAAAAGCATGAGGCACAATGTTTTTTAAAGCTGATGTCAAACTTGCCTTGTCTCGATTTTGTGCAATACAATACGAGAAGCATTTCCCTAAATTATTAATAACCTTTTGACTTAAAGTTGATGAGTTTTGAAACTTGCAGCATGTTGACAGGTTGTACATTCTTGATGAAAGAGAATGTTTTGCATGTACAATATCTGACCACTTCTCAACTCCATAGGGCACATTCTGATTCAAATGGGAAAGAGTTGTAGTATCATAGTCTCCTACATAAATAGAAAATTTAGCATTTTTGATGGGTGCAGAATTCCACAGTTTACATGCAACTGCTGGTTCCATTGCTTTTGATGACCCGTCATGATTTTTTCTGCAGTCATGCTTTCTTGGTTATATTCCTCTCTTCCGTGCATGGTCACACACTCTACATGATTTGCACCTTGTCGCATATGCCAACACATTTCCAGTCTGTATGCCCATAGCAACCCCTTGTCCAGTCAGTGAGTTATGTCCTTTTCCACGCTTTTGCCATCCCATGTCATATGACACAGGTATGCCAATTAAGCCATTCTCGTCTGCCACCTCGCCATTCTTTACTGCCATTTTTTTTTCAATTTCCATGTTAGTTTGGCAACTTGTTTGTGCTATTGACTCCACAGCTTTCCCCACCTCTCTTTCACGAGATTTAAATGTTCTGTTGTTCATCGTTGGTAAGTTCATAGTAGCAACCAGGTTATTTAGATGGGTATTACCAATGCCAGTATGAAGAGAACCGAGTACAGCTCTAGAATTAATGTTGTAGGCCAACCGGCCACGCTTTCCACTTCAATGTTCTGATGATGTTTTAATTTTATTGATTCTTCCACACAGGTTACATTTTATGTCAAAGACACTGGCAAGACCAATAATTTCCTCCTTGATGATGTTGTTCAATGCCATTGGACCTGAAAGAAGATAATTCCACTGAATTTGCAATCATGTACATAGTTAGGGAGTGGGGTAATTGGGTCTGGATTCCCACATTTGTTGTGAAATTCTCCCAAAACTGAGAAGAAACTGAGGATGCCAGGTGTAGTCTTCTTAGAATGCCCCCATTTTTAGCACCTGTTCGCAATATATCCATAGTGTTGTGTACTGTTTACACAGATATTAAACATCCATGCCTCATTATAAACTGTACTGTGAGAATTGTAATTGTAGGGGTCACATACCTTTTAAACAGTGATTGCACATGGAAAGACTCTTGGTCAATACTTGTAAGTCTACAATACGACATCCTTGAGCCATGTGAGAGTTTTTTTCATCCTGAATCTATACAGTTGTATAGTATTTAGTTGATTTAATTGCTATCTCTGTCATTCAGAGCTTAATTGTACCTAGAATTAATTCTGTTACACTCACCTGAGTACTTCGTGTGATTCTTTTTGCTAGTGTACATTTATTTTCACTTGTATTTTCGTCAAAGTCTAGCCTTCGTTTCGGAGCTCTACTGCCTTCGTGTATCCTTTTCTCCCTATCTAACAAACTTTTTTTACCGAACTTTCCGTTAGCCCTCCTGTTTTGGGCGATGGTTTTTGCCACTGGAGTATTTTATACTTCGCTTTTTTCATTTTTACCGGCTTTTAATTTATTTAGCAAAAATCCTGTACAAATAGCAGCGGCTAAAAGCCCAGTTATTTGCCAGAAACGTAGTCCACTTTCGCAGATTTGCTCGCCGTCGCTTCGGTCGTCACTCTTGATATTTGACAAATGCTTAGATCCGTTTTTAAAATAAATTTTATTAAAGCGAAATTCCTTTCTATTTACACTAGACTTTAAAGCACTTAGTCTACTAAAACCGATATTTCTAAAGACACAAACCAAATGAAATGCCATTGTTTGAACTTTGTTTTTGTTTTTAAATTTCCCGGCAATTATTTTGGCATTTAATCCTCGCGTGATGTTTACTTGCGTGGAGTTTCGCGTGCGTGCCCTAGCGAGAACTCGACCCAATCCTCCGTATATTAAAGTGTATTGAGCCACCTTAAGCGGCCAAAATGGTCAGACCGGTCATATTCTAAATTAAAATTATTATATACTTGAATGCAGAGTTCTTGAAACACTCTAAAGTACCAAT